AAAATTTTTAATACTAATTGTTTACTGAAGTTTATCGATCAGTTATTGTGTTGCAATAATAAAAATAATACTACCTCATACAGACTGTCTAAAAATTTATTATAAATAATTTCTAGCTTTAAATGGCAATAACTTGTTTAATTTAAATGGAACACCCTGTATATTTTAGGAGAATCAGATATGTACAATATAAATGTCTATCAAATTGTATTTTACCATTTTTTACCTATCTCTTCAAGTTTTTGTAGAAAATGCATTTTCTTATAATTTAGACCTCATTTATATAATATGTATACCAATGGAATATTGACAGTTTAGATTGTTTTTAAAGCAACCAATATACAAAGTGTACAGATGCTAAAAACGATAATATTACTAGCCCATTTGTATACAATATGTAATATGTAAATATACCACCATTATTTCCGCCCAAATATTAATTAACATATATTAATTACATACTTAATTGTGTAAGTTAATAAATTATTCTAACTAAATGTGGATTTGAATCAGAAATCAATAATAATAATAAGTTATAAAAATGAACGTCTCTGTTATGTTATAACGTCTTGTTATAAATAAGCATTCGTCAAAAAATGAAATACAAATTTTAAGGTGTTCCTTTTTACCACACTGTCTAATACACATACATAGTTCACTTTTTTAGTATTTGGGACAATTATTATTAATCAACACAAACAATGTGTTAATGTAGTTTGAATACTGGAATCATATTAATTGGTCCTTTTTAACAATAATTTAAATAGTTTTTTTATATATTTTTTAATAAAATAAACGAACTATATCGACAATATTAGTATCTGTACTCTTTAAAAATTTGTTACACCTTTAAAAATAATCTAAAATGTCAATATTCTATGGGTATATTGATAAATGAGATCTAAAGTATAAGAAAATGCATTTTCTACGAAAACTTGAAGAGATAGGTAAAAAATGGTATAATACAATTTGATAGACAATTAAATTGTGCATCTGATTTTTATAAATATATAATATACAGGGTGTTCCATTTAGATTAAACAAATTATTGCCGTTTAAAGTTAGTAATTATTTAAAATAAATTTTTAGACACTTTGTATAAGGTAGTATAATTTTTATTATTGTAACACACAATTCAGTAAATAGGAATACTTCAGTACAATATTTGGTTTAAAAAACTTAAATACGCCTACAGAAAAATGAAGCATTAAAATTATTACTGTATATTTTGACAAAAACCAGAAAATATTTCAAAAACGGGAAGATTAAAATGCGCTAAACCGTAATCAAATTTACATTTATTTTAATCGTAGAAACTAAAAATGTAATAATATACAGGTTGTTCCATTTAAAAAAATACAACTTTGATATTTTTTGTTTATTTGGGACACTTATTGTTGAAATATATTGTCTTGAAAAATATTTTTAAATTGTAGCTCTAATAGTCCTTCAACGAACCCAAAAGTTAGAATTTGCAAAAATCTAATCGTTTAGCTATAATGATAATACTCCGTGTCGTATTTGGTGAACAACCATGTATATACAGAGTGTCCCAGAAATAAGTGCAAGTATTTTAGGGGGTGGTAGATCTCGATAAAAGAAACATATTTTCTCATTATAGTTTTTCAAATAAGTCCAAAATAACGGAGTTATTTTACTTTGAAAATTTTCAAAAAAAAAAGATTTTTTGCTCAAAATTTGAGAGCCACTGGATCTTTTCTGGATTTTCTTTCGTGTAAATTTAATCTACTAAAGGCTACTACCTATGTTGCCATATTATCAAGAAATTATGTTTTTTAACTAAAAAAAATCCAAAAAATTTTTTTAAAAAATTCCGAATTTTCAAAAAAAAATTTTCGCAAAAAAAAAATCATAGACGTGTTTCTGGGGTTGAACTATACTACCAGTGAATAAGTATTTTTTTTATCTGTGTTTGATTTCTAGCAGACTGGTAAGCGTAGAAAAAAAGCTGCACAAGACCAATGGAATCAAATAGACGAACAAAAAATTCATAAATTCGAATTTTCTGGTAACTCTCAGTTAACAAACATTAACATAAAAGAGACTATAACTCCTTTACATTGCTTTAATTTATTTGTCGATGATGATATAATAAATTTATTAGTTACTGAAACAAATAAATTTGCAAGAAGTAAATTTATTAGACCGGGATACCATAAAGACTTCTTAACGGATGGATGGATGTTACACCCACTGAAATGAGGGAATTTATTGGTTTGTTAATTTTATGAACTTGAAAGCATTTAGAGGTATGTTGGTATTCTTAATTCTTACACTTCAATTTTTTTTTAAATTTAAATATATTTTTAGCTTCACTTGGTTCAAAATATTTTTGGTCGAGGTGATAGGAATACAAGAGGTCCAATAGCAGGGTATGTAATGACAGAGACACGTTTTAAGAGACTGATTACTTTTTGGAGATTTGGCGAGGAGCAAGGGAAGTTTTCAAAGATTAATGTGCTTCTTCGCATGTTGAACGCTAATTTTGCTAAATACAAAACACCGGGGCGCGTTTTGTTTGTGGGTGAGTGAGATATTGATTTTTCATTGTAAATTATTTAGAGGTTGCCTTATAACAAAAAGAGCGCACGGGAAAAACGATGAGTGTCCAAAAACGGATAAATGTTCAGAGAGCGTTTTTTAATTCAAATTACTCATGGACTTTTATCGTTTTTCCCATTTTTAAATGCCTCTTTCTATGTGACCGTTATCGATATTCCCATTTATTTAGATACCAAAAGGTTAAGTTACCTATTTAAGAGGAAAAATATTGAGGTGCGTTCACACCAGCTGCGCCGCTCCGCGCAAAACATTTTTTTAACATGTACTTTGGAAGTGTATTTTTTTTAGCGCGCACAAATATATGTTAAAAAAATGATTTGCGCGGAGCGGCGCAGCCGATGTGAACGCACCTTTTTTTTACATTAAAATCAAATAAGCAAACAATGAACTTTCATCGTTTTTCCCGTGTGCTCTTTATATGAAAATATATACAGGATGTCCTAATATTCCAAAAATACATACTAGAACTATATACTATGTATTTTTGTAATCAAAATAAGTTCATTGGGTACAATTTACCTCCATACAAAAGTGCTTCGTTTGCCCGTTAGAGGGCATCAAACTTTAAAAAATAAAAACATTTTTTTAATATTTTAAGAACCATTTTTCCGATTTGAATGAGATTTTCGGGTGTCTTTGTTTTGCTAAGTGTTTTAGAATATGACTTTCACAAAATTCAAGACAAAGTACGGGTAGGTCCCCTACTTAAATTTTAATGTCAATATTTTCTGACTCCACCGATGCCCGATTTTTTTTCTGTAAAATGGCCTTGTAGTATTTACTATGTCTTCTAGTATTTACTACATTTTTTGTCTCTTGTAAAAAATGCCACATCACATAGTTTTGGAGAAAAAAAAATGTTGGAGAATTTTTCTTTTCCAAAGCCGACCTACAAAATATACAGGAAGTTCCAAGATTTTGTGGCCATTTAGAATAACTACATACGTGTTTTTTAATCAAAACAAGTTAATTGCACACAATTTACTTCTATACAGAAGTGCTTCGTTTGTCCGTTAAGCTGCGTCCACATAGCTCGCGAGCAGGCCGAACGAACACGTGAAACACGAGAAACATGGCAAACAGTCGGAGCGATTGTTCGCGGCGCTCGCGGCGCTCGCGACGCTCGCTGTGCTCCCAGCTGAGCTCCTGTACCAATCGCGGTACATCGGTACATCAAAGAGACGCTTCGGAGTCATGCGACTATACTTTACGGCGCGGCGGTTCGAAGCGCTCGAGCTGTTTGCGTTGTTTGTTAAATTTTTAGTTTTGTTTCATTCATAGGATTCGGTATTTACTGCAGTATGATGATTCTACCATGATTTTTCTTATTTTATTTTGTTCAGAATTACAAATATTTGTCTGTTGTTCTTGGATTAATAATATTAAATATACCTTTAATACAATATAACTCTATATTTATATTCCCTACTTATCTTAATCTCATCTTTGAGAACTTTATTTATATTTTGGCATACGCCTGGTATTATTTTTGAAATGCTTTGCTTGGAAACTTTGAATAAATAACCCAAACTGGTATGTGAGTGTCTAGTTGTAAGGAATCAATGTTATGGCCAGTCTTTATTTAACTCTTTCTTTAACCGGAATACACTTCCTAATGCGAGACTGCTTCCTAATTATAGACTGATGGAACCAGCAGTTGCAGACAGAATGAAATTCGAATTAACAGAACTATGGGCAAGTAATAACAACAAGCCCGGACTTAACGATAGTCCAGATGACATGTGGAACAACATAAAACAAAACATTCTGACTGTTTCCAACGCTTTTCTGACACCAACAACAACAAAGAAAAACAAACCATGGATGACCGATGAGATACTCTCCCTCATGGAGGACAGAAGAATTGCAAAAGTCGAACAACAACAACAAAGATACACCGAAATAAATAAAAATATTAAACAACAATACAAACAAGCTAAAGAGAACTGGGTAACTGCAGAATGCCAAGAGGCGGAACGCATGCATGCTCTGCACGACTCTGTAAATTTTTATAGAAAACTCAAACAAATTACTAGTATCACAAAAAAAGCACCAATACCTGCCCTAAAACACAATGGGAAATTAATTTTAGACCCGGTAGATCTATGCAGCACATGGAAAAGCTATGCACAATTATTATTTGAAGACCAAAGAGAAGACAGACAACTTCTCAATTGTGAAGACTGGTCGGGCCCGGAAATTCTTGAATCTGAAGTTCAGCATGCTATGAAAGCTATGAAAAATCGCAGTCTATGCGAGCCGAAAGATCTCGAGAAACACAACAAACAGGAAGCGCAAGCAACGCAAGCACAATCAGAAGCAAGAGCGCGAGCAGGATCACGAGCAGTGTGGACGCACCTTTAGAGGTCATCAATCAAAAATAAACGCAAATTAATTAAACATTTATTTATTTTTTAAGCATTTTATGAAGCTTATTGTCAAATATAATTTGTGATACTATCATAAAATTTCAATTGTTGTTAATGATGACATTTATTGATTATTTCGATTTCGAATATCTCGAGAACCATTCCTCGTAGCGATTTTTATATAGGTGGCCCCATCTACAAGTAGAAGTCATTTGACGTAGGAATCAAATTTCTTATGTCAAAAAACTTCCAGACACCAATTGTCGTCCAAATATCGACGTTAGTTAAGAAATTATTAAATCGAAATAAAAATCAAACTTCTACACCTTGTATCTCCGAAACGAAGCATTTTAGGACATACATTTACACGAACTTTTTTACTAAGCTATTGTGATTTTTTTATTTAAAAAACTATATTTTTTGTAGGTAAATCGACTTTGTACCTGCGACAGCGCTATATTTTTCAGAAATTGGCCGACAGTCCCAAAAGAGCGCAAATAATTTTAAAATTGGTCGACAACGAAACGTACATTTACAAGGTGGTTGCTATGCCTCCGACCTATTTGACGGACGATGGTAAAAAGAAACAAGCCGTTTTGGAGCTGTTAAAAGATTACTTAAACCAGGGAAGAATGGTTATTTTCGACGACCTATTTATTTCCGTGGATATAGCGCAGAATTTAGTCAGTAGGAAAACGCACGTTGTCGGTCCGATACGTAAGAAGTCGAAAAGCATTCCCGAAAAAGTTAAGAAGTTAAAGTTACAAAATAACGAAGTAAGTGAGAATTGTTGTTTTGAGTAAGACCGCTTGTACACACACCGGTGCCGGAGTCGGCCGATTTTGCCAGCGTGTGTGAAAGCGCTCTAACTGTCTATACCGCGTTGGCAAGCTTCATTCTTGGGTCGGTATTTACATGTGTGGAATGAATCCTTTTGAGATCTTATTAACTAAGGCTAAGAACATAGTGGAGCGACGAGGATAGCGGTGAGCAAGTAGCGCGATACCGCGTCGAGCAAGCCTCGAGGTGTTGAAACATAGTAGAGCGGCGAGGAATAGCGAGATACTTGTGCAAATTTATTATTTTCATTTGCTTATTGAGAATTTAAAATGTTAACAGTGGCTAAAATTCTGGGCAGTAGTGCCGCAAACATTTGGTTAGATGAAATTTTCAAAAACCTGAGAAAGTATGGCAAGTTTTATAACCTTAAGAAAATTTGTTCCCACATCATCTCATAACTTATCTAAAATGTACCGGTTATGGTGATTACTATCTTTCTGATCCCATAAAATCTCTCTTACAAATACTAAATCTATTAATTTTTGAGAATCTATCATTTTTTACAGCGCGACAGAGCGACGAAAACAAAATTATTTGAATCGATCTCGCCGCTCGATCTAACCACTCGAGCAGATCGCTTTACTATGTTCGCACGTACTTTTCTTCACAGGTTTGTTTTGGACGCATTGTCGCGCTGCTTGCTCGCCACTATCCTCGTCGCTCCACTATGTTCTTAGCCTTAGAGAAAGAAAAATACGACGCTGGTTGTACGCTGTGCTGTTGTGACGTCGCCACAATTATCGGTGACACCAATGACTAAAGGATACAAGGACATGTAACGGCCCTATACGGGCTGCAGCAAAATTTGTGATCTTTAGGCGCCAATGTTTTGGACATAACGAATGAATCATCAGCGACAATTTTAGCGATTTTTAATAGTTGGTTGTGTGTAGTGAACTTTGTATAAACTTTATTACAATGGTAATTTGTTCAGCTTTCAAGTGTAAAAGGCGCAATGATAAGAAAGATCCAGGAGTTAGGTTTTATAGGGAAATAAACGGTCCACTACACCTTTTTAGCGTTTTTTTTATTGAATTCGATAATTATTTTTCTGATATTATATGTACTTGATATGTGCTATACGTCGATACTAGTTTTGTACCTTTTGTTAACATTTTAATACGTTTTTTTCGTAATTAATTAGTATGATACCACAGGACACACCAGAAGCGTAGTGATAATATTTACCAAAAATATAAATATCGCTTCAAGCGGCTATGTTAAGAAAAATATGTGCCACGGCACTGTTTGGAAGAATGGTCACAGTTTGGTCTCGGTTACTATTTGTCCTTGTATTCTTTAGTCATTGGGTGACACAGATGCACCTTTTCCTAATGTAGTCCCTCATAGCCCCTCCCTAGTTGCGCCACTGCATATTTCTGCGAGTTTTTTTCGGAAGTATAACTAAATGAAATCTGTAGGCTTGGTGCATTCTCCGCCGGTGCTGCCACCATCATAGAATATCGTAAACAATCGGTATATACAAACACAAGGGTTTAAATATAGCAAGTATATGAAAAAAACTTTATATAGTTATTCTAAAAGTGTTGTGAAAATTCTAAAAATAAAATAAAAAAGTAAATATTTGGATATCTTCAGAAGGTCTAATTTTTATTATAATTTATTATTGAAGCTGATAAAACTTTTTAGATGAGTTCAACTGTGATGGCGAGCATAGTTTTACGCACCGGTTTTTCTAGTGGGGACATAACTAGGACTATTTCGGCTATAACGAAATTTTTTGAAGGTACATAATTATAATTTTAGAATTAGAATATATTCATAAAAAATTTAAGCGCTAGTTGATTAAAAAAAGAGTATTTCATTAATATTGCAAATTATATTTTATCCTCTCAGTATACGTCTATTTAATTTTTTGATTATGTAAAGGGCCCTTGGTTTACTCACTTGTTTCGTCGAACTGCTTGTGAACTATAAAATGTTGATTCGGGAGAGTTGGATATCCGGGAAAGTTGGGTTATTGAATTTTATTGCACCGAAGAACCACGTAATTGCGCTCTCTTTTACGCGTTAACATTTTTTCGGCAATTTTATTAACATTTAAAATTGTCAGAACACAACGCGAAGCCTAGTTCGAGTTCTTTTTCATTTAATTTTTACTACCCGAATCAGCGTTACATTACACAAAAACCTCGTACCTGAGTGTTTTATAGTTTCAATAACTGCACTAGCAAAAAACTAAGATACTTATGTAAATATTACGACCAGCCACGATTTCAATATTATTTTAACGCGATCAACACGCGAACTGTAACCGGGACATAGTGAAAACTTCTGATTTCTGCCGTATACAGCGCCGCGGTCTGAATTTTTTGAAATCAACTGAAATGCACCAAGCCTTACTATATCAATAGAATGTTTCTGAGCGTCTATAATCGAATTATTAGAAGATCGCTAGGGTGTCCAGTTTATTTATAATAAAAAAACGTAATTTCAAAAAACTTATCTTTTTAACACATACTATGCGATAACTCAAGAACCACTTAGGTATTGAAACTTTTTTTTATTTTGAAGTTCGGAATTTCGCCAAAACGTTTAAAGGAGAAAAATTGTTTTTTTTTGCATTAAAAAAATTTAAAAAACGCAGTTATGAACTTTTAGTACACGGCAATTTTCAGGCAGTAAATTTTTTGTTTGTAAAGATTTTCACATACTAAAATGTAGCAAAAACATTAAGTAAGTTCAATTAATTATTTCTAATAGATTTCGAGATACCGATTTTTGAGTTTTAATAGCGCAACTATCGAGCACTAACTTATTTTTTACCAAAAATGAAACTTCTGAACATTTTAGAGTCGTTTAATTTCTAACTTGCATTTAAAAATTTAGAAGCTATAAGGGAAATTACAACGATTCAATAAACAAATACAATATAATGAGACGTAATTAAATCCTGAAGCTGACCGCATGATGTCTTTCTACGATTGTCCTCTACTTCCTTAACTTCGTTATGCGGCGCGACCGTTTCAATCGCGACGAAGCTGCCATATCCTTTTCCACGTCTCTTAGCACTGTGCACAGTTTCTCGGTTTATTTCATATGTTTGGCAACATGTTTACTCTTCTCTCTTTGTTCACTACATTATAAATTCTTTAATTCCTTAATTATTCTAACGGATATTAAAGTAAAATAACAGAAATTCGGAATTGCAGAAATTTTATTAATTATTTTTATGGTTACGCTAATTTTAGGTGAAGGGATTTCAGAATCCACAGGGCATATCCATTTTTAAATGGAAGACGGACGATTTCAGAGGCTGTGGATTAAGTTCGTGTCATTCCTACAACACTGTCGAAGTTGAAGAACTTAATAGGCGGGAAGGTAAAGAATATATTTTTATTTATTTATTTATGATGTCCCATATTTTCCATTAAAGGTTGATTCTCACTATACCTTCCCTTTCCATTCCATATCCATTCCGTATTTTTTATTGTATTGACGCTAAACGTAAGCTTTCGTTCCGTATCAGTTCCATACTTTTTATTGTACAATTTATATCATTACAAAAGTTTTATTTTAAAACTTGTATCTTTTGAAAAAGGTAATAGATTAAGAGGTAAAAGAATAAATAAATATCAGCAAAATGTTAACAGAGTTGGCACAAATCTAAGAACTTGACAACGCTGTTTCCGATACGCTTCAGTCCGTCCGCCAAAAAAATGTATGGAAGGAAAGGATATGGAACAGAACTTTGAATAAAAAGATTAAGGAAGGAGCATATCAAAAATCTTAGATCCACCGCGAAGGGACTCAAATATGGCCGACTTAAATTCCGGTTTATCAGTGCCGTTCTAATTTTACTTATATAATAATAATAGCTTCCGTATATAGCGTTTAACGCCTTGGGAGTAGCAAGGTACAGCTTGCTATACTAGAGTCGTTCGGTATACAGGGAAGGTAATGTGGCTAGCACTACGCTTCAACCGCCTATTATTACCTCAGGATTGTGAATCCCAAGTACTCATTTAAGGCTGAGTCGACCTAGGTACCCAAACTATTTTTATTTTAATAAAAATAGTCGGCTGATGAAATGTCGGGTGTGGGAATCGAACCCACACCTTGAGATTGGTAGACGAGAGCCTGTACCTCTACGCCACCGGGCACCTATAATTTTATTTAAAAAGTGCAAAACTATGATGTAGGGTAGACGTGGGGTAGACTCAATAATTTGTCGTTTTATTTAACGTTGTGAATAAATATTGGTAGTTATTAAAATTGTAATAAAAGTATATAATTGTAATAAAAATAGATAAGTTATAATAATTATTTATTAACACAAACATCCGATACGCTACTGAACCAGGTAAGTCAAATTGACGTATCTAAATTCTTTGACATCTAATCTTTGACGAATAATAAATAAAAACAAAAATACAAGAAAAAATGTACAATTAAAAATATCACGCACTAACTTTATATCATTCTATAATTAATTACAAGTGTCCACCTTATTTATACGAAAAGGTTCAGTTTCGAACAGATGTTCATAATTTGAATTTGCGACATAAAGGGCTCATCTCCCCACCTTATCATAAAACAGCATTATTCCAAAGATCCTTTACGTACAATATCTATAAACTGTATAATGGCATCGATAAATGTTTTAGAGACCTGCCAGTTCATAGTTTTAAATCGCATTTAAAGCGACACCTTCTAGATCAACAATGTTAAATTATACTTGAGCAGCGTTTCTTTCCTTTTAGTGTTTTCCTAACCAATTTTACATATAATTTCTATTTTTAAGTTTCTTCTTTTTCCTTTTTAAATTTTTAATTTGTTAAGCAAACCCTGTATTTCTTTTTTATATTTTCTTTTTTTTTATATTATTGCTATTTACATGTTAATGCATTAAACAAGGCTGGAACTTGATCAGTTATGCTGTATTTCCAGTCTTTTTGTAATTTTGTATATTTTTCTTTTCTTTATATTTTTGTTTATTGTGTTTTATAATTCTTTTGGTTGTATCTAATCTATGTACACAAATTACAATAAATTTTCTTCTTCTTATTATTATTATTATTAGTTAATTTAAGTGAATTTCATAAATGATCGGTTTACTACACGTATGTGTATATTATATAATCACTTACTAGCGAAAAGTAATTCCATTATTTCATTCGATTTTTGACCGAGATCTACCGCACGCTACACAACCAACTATTTTAGAGTCTTTTTCGATAAATCGCGATGGTGTCACTGTTAATTTAAGTTCTGCCACAATTTCCATCTAGATTTACTACCTTTATACAACTATCAGTAGTAGAATAAATAATAAATAACATAAAATAAGCTCCGTAAAGACTGACAAATCCACAAAATTTCAAATCAAATTCAAATGTGTCAAATGAATCGTTAAACAGAACTGTCAATGATCCCCACCCTAGAGTCCTTTTTCCGCCCACCATGCATGAATACATGGATAGTATTATGCTCCTTCCTTAGTATTTTTATTTAAAGGAACAGAAGGGAAACGGAACGGATAGTGTACATTGTCCTATTCATTTACATGATATAATATTTTATGTAAACGGAAGGGAGCTGATATGGAAGGTATAGTGACAATCAACCTTAAAAAATACTAAGCGATCCAAAATGATTGAAATAGTTGGCTATTCTGATTTCAATCATTTGGTTGGCAATACAAATACTTATTTACTGCTATTACTCGCTGACGAGTATTTGACACGCATTAGAAGATGGTTACGCAAGGCGAGCTTTTCTGTGACTGAAAACCCGATACGTGAGGCAGAGAGAAACTAATAACTAAAGTGAGAGGGCTTGTGGAATAGGGCATTTCGTAGACAAGTTTATTTTGTCACCGCGCATCCCAGACGCGCATAGCGTTTAGGCGGTCACAAAAGGAAGTTTTCAACTTTGCAAGTTAAACATTTGACAGGATTAATTAGATTGTCAGTAGCTTTTTCTATTTCTTAGCTCTAGAAGGAGATAACTAAAATCAGTTGATAATCGGAGTAATAAATTGTTTTTGACTGAATGTGCCTGTTCTTTTAGCTTGTTAGAAGAGAAGATTATTGTCATTATTGATTATTTCAGATTCCACGATTATTCGGCATATTCGTTGTGTGGTTGAGATCTAGACAAAACGTTTCGTTTAAAGGTAAGTTTTATCTCGGTAAATATTTAAACATGCGTAATAGTAATAGTGAGTGCACATAATAATCACCTGTTCACTCCCAACCAAGTTAGATAAAAAAGATATTGAAGATTGCAGCCTTGAGTTGGAGTATGGCAAGGAGTATGGAGTTAAATAAATTCTTATGTTCCTAAACAGTATTTTATTTATAGGTTTTAATGATTTAAAGTCTAATAATAAATTATCGTTGTCAACAAAATAATCTAAAAAAACTACGAAGATTTTTTATTATAAACTTGAAAGATTAAGATTCCGTTCAAATAGAAAAATTTTAAATGTTTGGCGCCAGTATATAGGTATGAATGCAACCTACTATATCGATAATGCGCTCATAGTTCGGGTTAGACGCCAAAAGCCGCGCCACTAACACAGTCCTCAAAAATTAACGTTGATCGGTCTCTCTCACTTTAGTTATTAGTGTTCTCTCTGACGTGATGTTATCTCTCTTCTCTCCGCACACCGGACATTCAAAAATATCATTACTTTTGTCATTGTTAACTGAATTTACAATTCTTCTCCATTGCGATCTATTGTGTACTGCTTTCTCCCACTGATTCTGCATGCTTATCGAATGGAATGTAATACCACAAGATGTTTTGGGATTACCGAATAATACTGTTACCTGACACGGTTGCCTGTATCGCATTGAGTGTCAGACAAAAGTATTAGGTAATCCCGAAACATCGAGTTGTATTCAAAAGATTATACAACGAAACAAAGTACATATATCCTTCTTATCTTAAATATTTTTTTGCCATTTTGTAATAAGAATTGACGGGATATTTTGTGGAGCCGACAGAAATGACTTCTGAATTAATATTTCAAAAAATGACAATTACAATATGGCCACCAAGCGATAATCACTTAAATGATTATCACTTATTAATCACATCCTTCTATATAGGAAAAATACTATACATAGAATTGTATAATCCCTTTAAGTTTTCATGGAAAATATCCTTGTACCTTTTGAGTTGTCCACCCAGTTTCCTCTTACCGTCTACAAGCTCACCATAAAGAAGAGATTTCGGTAGGCGGTTTTCTTACAAAGCCAACTAAACGCGGTTTTTTCATAAGGTATTATTTTCTTTATTTATTTTTTTAGGAAATGTAACTGTAACTAAAAAACAGTCGGAATTTCTAAAAGATTTTAGTAGCAGCGCCGATGTGTTTGAAATGGTTGAGAAACTCTGTACCACCGAAAGTCCATTAAATGACGAAACCACATGGTAAAATAAATTAAAATAATTATATTCTTTTTTGCAACGCTGTATATTTTAGGTACAGAAGATTGGCGGCTGATCTGCTGGCAAGTACGTGCGTTATCAACGCATATCTCGTCTATAGAAAGTTAACCAATGACACGACGCGAAAATTTGACGATTTCCAAGATTATTTGTTTAAACAATTGGTAGGGTTTACGTGGTACTTAGATAACGAAAACACCAGCGAGGAGGGATAGTTTCTATAATCTCATTTTTTTGTTTTGAAATATAATGTGTAGAAGAATATATCATCGATGTGTAAAGTGCGAAGTTTTAAATGGAGTAATTACAACAAACTTCTTACTGTCAAATTCAGGGGTAAAATAAACAAAAATAATTAAAAATAAGGTCTATACATTTGTGACTGATTCATTTCTTCAAAAACGTTTTCTGGGTATTTTGTTACTGGAAGAAAATGTACAAAATAAAATATTTATTTTTATTACAGATTATACAGATTATAAACTTATCGTCAATAGCATTGTTTTTTGTGGTTCCAATTTTCGGAGTCGCGCACTAGTTAGGTTACTAGTTTGCGCACATAGCACGCCCACTTGGCCTCTAAAATTGTGCACAGCGCCTGACCGGCCTAGTTATTACGCTATTTAAACGCGAGTTTATTTTTGCGCACAGGAAATTTTACTTGTTTGCTCATCGTCATAAAAAACAATTTTCGTACCACGAATTAGGGACAAGGGTGTTTTTATAAACACCGCTCCGTTGATTTAACGGAGACCAATTTGTCAGCGGCAGTTTGTCATTTTAACAGAACGTCAACGTTTTTTTAAGAGACGCATCTGTTGAAAAAAAAATAAAGTCTTGACAGAGCTGCAAGCTCACAGAAAAGTTAAGCCTTTTTGATTTAAATAATTTTAATGACTTAAGTCATTGGATTTTAAGCCATTTGTCGAAAGCTGACTTAGCACTTAAAATTTAAGGGTGTATTCCGTTGCTTACCTTCGTTATGGTTTTATGTTCCGTTTCTATCGGTTCCCTGAAAGTTTTCTTATTACGGAACATGGTTCCTGAAAAATTCTCATTTAATTTCTAAAATTTGTAATAATATTTTGTATTTACATCCAAAAGCAATGAAGGTAGGCAGTAAAGGTAAATACATTTCATTAACTAAATAGAATGACTTTTTAGGACCATATAAACTTATCATGCAGTCATTGTTTCTTAAAGTCAGGAACATTTAAAGAAACAAGACAATTAATCGTGAATGTTTTATAAGCTATAAAAATATAAATATTGATTAGATTTGTTTATTTATTATTGATCTGTTTTAATATTGGACCTGCAAATCTTCACTTAAGATGTCTAACGAGTTTAACAGTTTATTAATAAAGTACTTTTCAATATTAAACTCCAGTGAAAAGAAGAAGCAAACGTAAAACCAGAGAATAGGTACAGGGTTATCATTTTAGTTTGACATTTTAAAAGCTTATAACTTTTTTGTTTGTTGGGTTAAGCATTCATTCAAAAAATATGTTGTAGCAGTTTCAGCTAAGTTTTTGCGAGTGTTGTCAAAAATGACAGTAGGTGTCACATTTTAGATAGGTGTGATTTTTAAAACTAAAAAAAACTTAAATGGGACACCCTGTATATTAGTAGCGCATTAGTTAGTCTCCTTTTCTCCGAATTCAAAAATGTATCACACATGTGCATTCTTCTTCTTAATTTCATTCAAGATTAATAAAAACAATTAATTAAAAGAATCAAGATAGTTATAAATGGTTTTGTTTCCAAATTATGTTTGTTAGTTTGCCTTATCAATGAAGCACAACACATTAACCAATAACAATTTTATTAATACTGACATAACAATAACAATAACTAGCTATAGAATTAAAAACAGTTATAGGTTATTTATTTTCAAAATCTGTATGCTCTACATGACCTCCTTCTTTTTCGATGCATTTTCGAAATATTTTCACAATATGACGTTTAAAATGTTAATGTGTGATATATTTTTGAATTCGGAGAAAAGGGGACTATCTAATGCGCTACTAATATACAGGGTGTCCCATTTGAAAAGTTTTTTTTAAATGGGACTGTCTGACATGTGACACCTACTGTCATTTTTGACAACACTCGCAAAAACTTGGCTGAAACTGCTACAACATGTTTTTTGAATGACTGCTTTAACCCAACAAACAAAAAAGTTATAAGCTTTTCAAAGTGGGTCAAACTAAAATGATAACATGGGACACACATTAAAAATGCATAAAAGATAAATTTTATAATAGAGGTATTGAAATTTAGAAAACGTCAACATTTGACGTTTCCAGTATTTTACCAAACCGTTCCGTATCAAACCAATGTTTTTCAGGAACCGCTCTTTACCGTAGTTTACCTGTCTGGTTCGCCTGGTTTTGCAACGGAATACAGCCTAAATCTTTATTCCGAAATAGAAAAAAAATTAAGTCTTTATAAAAGACTTAAGTCATTAAAAAAATTTTAAGTCTTTTTATAAAAGGCTTAAATCAGATTTTTATATATTTTTATGATAAATTTTAACAGCAGCATTTCTTTTTAAACTGTTATGCGTAATAAAAAAACAATGCTCAATACCACTAGTAAATAAAATGTTAGTTTTTCGGAACCGATTTTGATTATTTATCGTGTTAGCGTGCGTGGTGAGTCTGTTGTCTTTCAAGGGAATCCCCGACTTCGTTATGTAGCCCGAAAGACGAACGAAATAAATTGATCAATAAATAATTGATGTATTCGATGACATCTATCTTTGATGGATACATGTATAAAGTACTACAAGATCGGTTAAATTTTATAAAAAAAACATATTTGTGTTTGGAGTTGTTCTGAAATTTAACTGTTTTATTTTATGTGGTTTTACTCTCATCTGTATCTACAATAAATTAGTAATATGATACTTAGTAAGAAAATCGTTAATTATTGGTAATAGAAGAAAATTAATATTACTATTTAACTTGACTTTTATATTGACTTGGTTTGAAGGGAGAAAATGAGGGTAATTATATTGATTTGTCATTTTACTGACTTAACTTGCAGATCATCACGATTTAAGTCAAACATATAGACTTAAGTCATATAAACGACTTGAAATAAAATGACTTAAGTCAAAGACTTAAGACTTAAATCCATATATATATATATATATATATATATATATATATATATATATATATATATATATATATATATATATATATATATATATATATATTAACTAAAGTATATCGACTCCAAACTGCATTCTGTGAAGCCAAGCCGATGAAATGGGTATATAATCTTCTGAAGGAATTTGCATAAGTCGCTCAGTTAGCTGTGCTCAAGCGTAGTGCGCAAGCCTGGATTTTGAATTATCGATCGGATATCCAGACCAATAAGAGACTAGACGCTAGTATCAGCTGTTGATTCGTACGGCTCCGGCCAACTTCGTACGGCTTTCGTTTGCGTTCCCGCTCGACAATTGGCTAATCCTCAGAGTAAGGGCTAATTGAGATCTGCCTAACAGACGAACTTATGTGAAATATGCATGGACCGATTATCTAGTTGTTTCTAACTCGGCTTCAACTCCAACACATTGCAGGGATAAACGATAATCCGTATATATTTGATATGTATATGCTTAAATCATTTGAACTTTATGTTGAATTTGACTTAAAACTTAAATCATTTTGATTTTAGAAATGACTTAAGACTTAATACTTAAGTCTTTTTAAAACTGACTTGTTGCAGCTCTGGTTCTTGAATAGTTGTATTTAGATATTTTAAGAAGTCAAGATATATACTTCCTGAAACCTTAAGAAGTTTTTTGTCCGTTTGGTAAATTTGTTTTATTAGTAAAATACAACTGAAAAAAAAAATAATAAAAACAATTTTATTTTGTATATTTTCTTCCAGTGTTGATATACTCAGAACCCCTTTTTGAAAAAATAATTAAGTTACTTTTTATCACTATTTGTTATGCATAAGAGATTACAAATAAAGTATCAGTGTGTTGTATGTACAGGATGTGCTGAAAAGTTCGTAATAAGTGGTAAATTTTTTTATTATGAAGTTATTGAAAAATATATTTTTTTAAAACTCGATATTAAAAAAGTTTCTTATTGGACGCTAACTTTTTGGTACACCCTGTATATGAGTGTGGAAAATGCAGAATAAAGTGGTTAAAAACTATTAGAATATATATTTTTTTTATTTAGAATAACTTTAGTTATACAGGGTGGACTAATAATGCAGGACGTCGCGTCGGTTGTAACTCTTGAACCGTTAATGATGGAGCTTAACAGTCCATTTTACTTTTCACTAGTCCGAAAAAGTAGCAAAATAAGCGTTCGGCATTTAACGTTTTATGTAAAACTGGCTAAGATAAAGGATTATACTATATCCATATTGTAGCACATTTTTAGTTCTTTTTCAACTTCTATATTTTTAGGATTTTAATGGTCAAACATCAATAAAATATTCCTTATTGGACTACATTTTCTCGAAAATAAAGACATAATTTAAAATTCCGTTACAAAACGGAAATAGATTGAAGTTTTGTGATTACAGTGATATATAATTTATATGGTTTTGTAACAAATTGCTCGCTATTTTATGGCAAATGTTGAACCTCTACAAACCTTAATCAAGCCTTAATTAAAGCACGTGTGTTTAGAATTTTGGGTGTGGCTTAACACGACAGGATCGGGCTAAGTCTTAGGCAGATTTATGAAATATATTTCCTTCGGCCACACACCTGCTTTATCCCTGATATTTGTGGGTAAATCGATTAAGGTAAACCACTGTAAATTATTTTTAGGTTTATAAGTTGGTCGCTCAGGGACCAATGGCTATGATAAAGTGGAAATTGTACCATGTGATCGAAAAACGACGTCCAGTTGGCTTGGAAATGAGGTGCGATCAATTACATTCTCCATATAATTTTATGTATAGAACAACTCTCTTGATTTCATTCATAGCCATAGCTGACGTCGTTTTTTAGGGTTCCGTACCCAAAGGGTAAAAACGGGAACCCTATTACTAAGACTTCGCTGTCCGTCCGTCTGTCACAAAGGTCTATCTTACGAACCGTTATAGCTAGACATTTGAAAATTTTACAGATAATGTATCTATGTTGCCGCTATAAGAACAAATAGTAAAAACAGAATTAAATAAATGTTTATAAATAAAAAAGTACTTTAACTAAACATTATCTTTTAAGTAAGAATTTTACATAGAATCTTTCAAGTCCTCGATGGCCGCGTGGTTAAAGCGTTAGGACTTTACGCGGCTATGACGTTGGAGCCGTAGTAAGGCAGGTTCGAATCCTAGTCAAGGCGACTTTTTTTAAACGTTTTTTTTAATTTTTACATCTTTATTTTTACTTTTCACATATTTATTATTGATTAATACAATTTTTAGTAATGTGTTTCTTCATTTTTTTTTAAATTACTTATATGCGCATTCAAAATTTCAGCTAAATCGGAAAAAAAGTTTATAATAATATAGTGTTTAATGTTGTATAGATAATGAATGGTACGGAACCCTTTGTGCGCGAGTCCGACTCGCACTTGACCAATTTTTTTTTCGATCATATTGTATCACTTTAACTAATCCTAACATTTTAGGAAAAGCAAAAAGTAGAAAATAACAAGATTTTCCTTCCCTATCTCGTTTTCTCCAAAGAAAAATTGTTTTCCTGTCAATTAGTGGACGTCACGTGTCAAAATTGTCCCTTCTGTCTGTGGTTAGACTATAGAATCTGTCACTTTAATTAAATAAAACAATTTTTATATATTTAATAAAATACTATAATTAAAAATAAAGATTCATTTGGTTTCACTACTATCATTAGAATTATCAGGTATCACATTATCTTCTGGCACTGGTTCGTTTACTGTATCATTGTTTTTTAACCTTGCTTTCTTCTGAGCAAAACTGAGACTCTTCTTGTCAAAATCTAACGTCATCACGCCTAAGTCACCCGTATATCTGTTTTTGGTAATCTGCAACAAGTCTAATTATTAACTTGTCTAAAAGAATAAACTTATGGTAAATGCAAAACAATTTCCGATGCACGTGATCAACTTTGAGTGACAAGCGATGGCGACAGCGCTGCCAGATTGTGATGGATTTATGAGTTGAATCTTAATTTAAAAGTGAGAAACAATATATTTATTATATCATTTTGTAAAGATTTTTAGGTTTTATTTTAATTTAATAACTAATATTTTAGTAATTAGTTTATTTATCTGTTTTATATAGTAAACGCCACGAATGTTTGGGAGTGGTTCATCGGTCGCTACCATGTGAACTAATCTGTTCAAGGTCACATCAAACTTAATTCCAGTGCCGTGGTGTTTCAAGTCATATAATAATCAATATATAATCTGTTGTAATTTGTTGTTTTAACTGTCAAAGTCTTGTCAAAACATATATTTGGTTATAAATATAAAATGGAATGCCCCATTAGTCACACTGCAAGCACACCAATGGACTGACGCACACAAACGGATATCAAAGAAACGCGATATAGTATCATCTTTGTCAATCACGCTAACATTTTAGAATAAGTAGGAGGAGCGCAGGCAGATGATTAGACCGGGCTTTTAAAAACCTACGTCTGCGGTAAAAATTTACGTTTTTAATGTAAAAATGATAGCGCGCGTGTCGATTCTAACTTCATCAAGCGATGAATCACTCCCAAACATTCGTGGCATTTACTTTAGCTGATTTTACTTATTACATATTGGCAAAAACTAGTGCATTATGAAGATTATTCTAAGCGTTATTATGGGTTATTTATTGATGTACATCTTACAACGCCTTAACTGGTAATAACAAGTAAGAGGGTGCTATTAATGCACAAATTAATAATCATAAAATTTAATTAAAACTAACGTAGAAATAACTTTGAAAGTGGTGTAATGTGCTTATCAAACAAACTTACTTCTCTGACTGCAGTCAAGGGTAATAAAGGACCTTTAAGCATATCGCGCACTTATGCGAAGCGCGGCGCGGCGCAGCGCGGCGAATTTTTGATGGGTCCGCTAACTTATGCACGGTTTTGCGTACGCGGTTGGTATTTAAAGTTTAAAATTGTTTTGAGCTGACCCTTTCAATTTTAGTATTATCTCTGTGACGGTTTGATATAAAGGTGTATTAAATCTCATTATGTCCTCACGTTCTAGCAGCAGTTCAGAGGGAGATTTTCTTATTTTATGTACAATAACTAAAGAAAAAGATATGGGTGAGAACAAAAAGAGAAAATTTTGGATTCATAACATTAATATAAAAAGAAATGCGTACGGAAAATACACCTTCATTCAGATTTAAAGCGGCCCTCACACGATCAATAATATTGTCAATATTTTTGATTATTGACAATATTATTGAGCGTTTGAACGTACATATTGATGTACTTTCAATATATTGATGGATTTTCGGGATCCTGAAAATACTCGACAATATTAAAGGCGGAGCTAGGCGTATTGACAATATATTGATCGTTAGGTCGCATGATTGACAAAATTTGACTAGTTTATTCGTAACCATGGCGGAAGACGGAACATCGCCGTCATTGTTTTCACCAGTTTTAGATCGCAATCATCAGGCTCCCGTTTCTTAACGTACTCTAGAAGATTTAGTTGGCCGAACCTTTCTCTTTTTCGATATCCATTTTTTATATAACGTCTTTTCTTAAATGCTTTTCTCTATTTTTTCTCACTGACTGACACTCACTGCCAAAATGCCAAAATGACACGCTTTTTTTATCTTTAATTTTTTGGCATAGGGTATAATCGAGGGTATAATTCACACTTAATATCTGCACAAAACTTAATATTGATATATGTATTGACCGTGTCAGGCCAACTTTCAAATATTGATAAAATATTGACAATAAAAAACATTGACAATATTATTGATCGTGTGAGGGCCGCTTAAGAAAGACGAAAGCTGGAAGTCAAAAGAAAATTTTTATTAAAAGTATTATAGAATGACCCACCAAAAACTTGCTGAACTTCTTTCTTTGTTAATACCAACTATAGAGTGTCAAAAAACTAGATTTCGCTGCCCAATTGGCGTTAAGAAAAGACTTTCAGTTTCAAGTTTCAAGCAAGTTTTTAATAATGTCTAAATAAAACTAATAGAGAATAATTTATATTATTTTATGTAATGCCATCTTTTCTTAAATGGGTAGATCTTTCCGTTATTCTAAATTAAATAGTCCGTACATTGGTGGAACATATTTTATTTTATTTATGATCTAAAAATAACAATAATAGCTTATTTTCTTCACAGATATTGTCTCATCTCAATTGGTTGTGATAATTTGGGTCCCCAACATCATATAACTCTTTGTAGCTCTGTATAATCAAAATGAATGTTTCATCACCCATGATCTCAATAATTAAATTACAAGAAACAAATTCAAACAAAATAAACGGGTTCTTGACTAAACACAACCTAAATGCCAATTAGTAATACATCAATCGTAGAATCATTAATCCGAAGACACCCAAAATAAATTCCGAAAATGAGCAAAAACAAAGAAAGTTTCCGCTGACCACCGCGCACTAGGGCACGCGAAGCGGCCCGAAGAGAATTTCTTCGCTTTGGATTCTAGGTCTGCAACGAACGGCGCTTCGGCGCGCGGTGCAAGCGGTTGCTTCGCTTGAGTCAGCGGACGTGCATTATATAACACAAATTTAATCCGTTGCACGGTTTTTCGCCGCGCTTAGCCGCGCCGCGCTGCGCATAAGTGCGCGGTATGCTTTATTGTCACGTTCTCGTTCAAAGTAGTTTATCAGGGAAGCTACAAGTTCTTTGCTTTGACTGTTTAAATGCTTTGGCATATTTTCAACACACAATTTCAAGAAATGCAATACAAAAACTGGAAAATTTAGTTTTTCAAAGAACTGTTTGTGCTTAAAAGTACAATTTTAAAAAAGGACTATGAAAATAGGCAAAAAACGAGAATTACTCACAAAGATTCAACAACATGATATTATACAAAATAATTGACATTAGGATAATTGTCAAATAATAAATGACAACCACAAAACATCCCCCTTTAGAACTTCGTCTATCATGTTAAGAAATGTAACATGATAGAAGTAAATAATAAAGCGCCTCTCGTGTTTGTTGGCACACTGAAAATTTCAATTAATACCTGTATATATTTTTAATGTATTTTTTAAATATACATTTTTTATTGTAAAGTACCTAATATATTACATTTAAATGGAATATATTACATAACAATTATGTCAATTACAGGATTACAAGCTTGTTTTCTAACATTTTTTAAATAAAACGAATTATAAAATTTCAATATATGTATATTCGTCGTAGGTATGAAAAAAGTAAAATATAAAATGGACAAACGCTTACTTACATTGCAATAAAACTTCCACTTTTAGTTTTGCAATCCAAACGCAATATTTCTATTTCACAAATAAAAATATCCGACAACACTAAAATCACTGAAACTTCCGCGGCTGACAACGAAAACTGAACAATATAACGGCACTTTTTGTTTTGGACCTGCATATCACATTACGCTGTACCATTATGTTTTTTTTAAATAATATCAAATATCTAATTATAACTTGTAAATTTTAATATTTTAACATGATTTTAACTATTTCTGACAATAACTAACTTTTTGTTATCAAGATGACATTTTAGACGGCAACTGACATATATGTCATAATATTTTATTTTTAAATATGTAAGTAATAATATTTAAATCAATAAATAATGCAATTTTATACTAAGAAAACATTTATACATTCACAATATACAACAAAGTCTAATAATATAATTTGAAAACAACGAATATTGAATTAAAATTAAAAAAGTTAAGCGCGACCCCTTGTGTCAAAATTAGATTATTAAATTTTCGCAATTTTTACACCATTTGATGACCGGTGGCGTCTCTAGTGTTTGTTCGGGCGGTTGGCCTTTTACTCCCGCTTATGGCCATTAAAGAAAAAGTTCTAAAGGGGGATGTTTTGTGATGACAACCTTGCTGAAAACGGCGCAATGTGACCAACATAGCGATGATAAAATTCGGTTTAAACTAATTTTTGCAGCTTTAATCTAAATAAAATATCTGTTACAATCATTTGCTCTATAAAGTCAAATGAAGAGCTGCTCGGTATCTTAAATTATACAACAAATTTAAACATTTTTGCCAATATTTCATTTAGTCAGGTATATAGACTTTAATGTCAATGTAGATATGATTGATGACGTGCATCGGAAAATGTTTTGCGATTACAATATATAAATTCACTTGTAAATATTTCTTCCCATTCATAGAACTTAGTCTTTTATCTTGTATAATTAATACGTTATCCGCCTCTTGGGAAGCTTTGGCACCTCCGAAAATGGAACTCGTGGTTAGCATCTCGTCATCCTTTTCTTTTCTAATGGTTCAAGTTTATTTATAAATACAACTTATAAGTTTTTGTAGCCGAGTATTTAGTTTATTATACCTTGGATGAATAATTAGAGTTACATGGCAATTTTTTCTTGTTGCAAATGACCTGAACGCGGCCACGATGGCGTCTTGTCTCAAAAATCTGTCCATGTGTCTTTGGTCTTCACTGGTACCCATCATAAATTGTACGTTGTCTATAATCACATGGGCTATATCATGGACATAAGCTGCGTGTTCCACTGCCTATGAAATAAACTGTAGCTATATTATACAGTATGTAAATTGCTAAAGTTCTCTTTATTTACTTCTTAAGTTTAGTTTTTCATGTACTTTAAAGATTAATATATTTTGTTCTAGTGGGCCGATTTTGGTGATATTTAAGCAATTTGTAGCTAGTTTATCTGACTTGGTTTGGTTTGGTTTTAAATTAAATATAATATGAACTGTCACTGGAATAAATTCCTAAAACAAAGAAGTGCGCCACTGACTTTCGTTTATCCTGTTAGTAAAATTAAATAGGCCGTTTAATGCCGATTTAACGTTGGATCTTGATATTTGGTCGATTTCGATCTCCTTGATGAGATAAAAGCATTTTATTAATCTCAATAAAATTAAATTACAAAATAATACGTTATTAAACGGTTTTATTTATTTAATCTAATTTATTATTGAATTTTATTGTAATTTATAACACTATTGTTCAGGGATATTTACAACAAATTCCAAAAAAAATAATGACATTTAAGATAAATTTTAAAAGACCTATCTTTTAAAAGTTTTAACATCCTGTAACTATAAAACTATGCATTTCCGCGCCTATGTTTATAGGGACTTTTTATATTTTTTAGGAATTAATGGGTACTTAACAATTTGGCTAATTAATGACATTAACATTTTTTAAATGTTGCTATTAGACTTGGATTAAGGCAGATGAATAAAATTGCATTTATCTCATCAAGGAGAATGAAATAGACAAAAAAAACAAGACAAGTTTTAATTGGAATTAAACGGCCTATACAATTTTGCTAACAAGAAAAAAAAGTCAGTGGCGCACATGTTTTTTTTTGAAAATTATTTCAGTGGTAGCCCATATGCACGTCCCTGGTTAATCTGTCGGCACTTTTTTAATATTAAAATATGTATAGCACTTATATCTTTGAATAAGAAGACTAAGGAAGGAGCATAATGCTATCCATGTATTCATGCATGGTGGGCGGAAAAAGCGCCATAAAAGCACTCTAGGGTGGGGATCCTTGACAGTTCTGTTTGACGATTTATTTGACACATTTGAATTTGATTTGAAATTTTGTGGATTTGTCAGTCTTTACGGAGCTTATTTTATGTTATTTATTATTTATTCTACTACTTAGATGGAAATTGTGGCAGAACTTAAATTAACAGTGACACTATCGCGATTTATCGAAAAGATTCTAAAATAGTTGGTTGTGTAGCGTGCGGTAGATCTCGGCAAAAATTGAGTGAAATAATGGAACAACTTTTCGCTAGTAAGTGACTATATAATATACATACGTGTAGTAAACCGATCATTTATGAAATTCACTTAAATTGACTAAATTATATATTTTTCTTGCATTTTAGCTTTTATTTATTACTTGTCAAAGATTAGATGTCAAAGAATTTAGATACGTCATAGATAAATGAAACAAGTTTAGATTGGAAAGTGCCCATAAGGACAATGTAAACCCTATTTGGCGCTATTCTTGCAACGGTCGCGATCCAAAACTTTTGAAAATTTCGGAGCGGTTCGGCTTTTTTCGGAATTATATCGCCAAATATTGTTTATTCAAATTTATTATTATTTTCGTTTAATTTTATAAATAAAATACAGTGTGTTGCATAAAAAAACTTTATTTTATATAAGGACGCATATATGAAATACCTATGAAAAATTGAAACCGACGTTATGCCACGATCCACGATGGTTTTGCAGTTCACAGTTCACAGCACAGCTTTTAAGTTTAATGCCACTTTTTCACAATTATTACCGGTTGGAGTAAATAAAACTTGAATTAAACTCACAAGATAGCAATAATTACTTTGAAAATGGATGCTATAAACACTTTTCGGAATTTCTTTCATGAGAGCGGTTTAGATTTTGAAAGATTATTATGATTTTTGAAGATTCTGACTTTGACAAGAGAAAATTATTTCTGTTTTTGTTTGCCGTTGTTCTTAGCGACCGCTATAGCAGCGCCAGATCGCGTATAACGGTCGCGACCCAAAATAATTTCGCGACCTAAAATTTTTACGGGCTTTCCAATCTAAACTTGTTGCATTTATCTATGAGATACGTTAATTTGACTTACCTGCTTCAGTAGCGTATCGGATGTTTGTGTTAATAAATACTTATTATAACTTATCTATTTTTATTTGAATTATATATTTTTATAACAATTTTAATAACTACCAACATTTATTCACAACGTAACATAAAACAACAAATTATTGAGTCTACCCCACGTCTACCCTACATCATAGTTTTACATTTTTTAAATAAAATTAGAACGACACTGATAAACCGGAATTTAAGTCGGCCATAGGCCCATCGCGGTGTACCTAAGATTTTTGATATGCTCCTTCCTTAGTCTTCTTATTCAAAGACTTATATTAACTTTTTTGTCAGTGTAGTAATACAGAGTGAACCAAAACCACAACATAATTTCTTTTAGATACACCAATAACATAATGATGAATTAAATAATAAAAATAAATGATCTCACCTCCATAACAACTTTAATACTTTGCTGTCCGTGGAAGGTCATGAAATAAAGTGGCAAGTGTTCAAATTTATCTGCCATTTCATCAAACTTGTCCAAATTATCCTCCAAGCTGAAACCAGCCATTTGCTGAAGCATCGTTTTAGCCAATCTAGCATTTCGAATTTCGAAACTGCCCCATAACGTGTTTACCTGCAAATGGAAAAATTAAAAAAAGGCGATTTTATACAGGGCGTCCCAGTCTTCTAAAAAGATCTCCAGTATGTCCCTGGATTGTCTTTACAAGAGGAAAACCTTTATTATTATTGACATTTTGGGAAAAATGCATTTTTTGCATTGTTTTTTCTTGTTCTAAAACGGTTAATCTCGTTTATACTTTTCCAAATTTCCATACAGTTTCAGAGAAAATAAAAAAAAACATGAAATAGGTAGTGTCATTCCGATTTCGTTCTTTGATAGTTATTGCTAGAATTTTAATTATTATATTTTTTGCTGTTTTAAAATGTTAAAGAAGCACAAAATTTATTTAGTTCAATGCTACAGAAAGGGTGATAATAGTTATCGGAAAATGTGATAGTTTAACATCAAAACGAATAAAAACCATGTATTAAAGAATGAAATCGAAATGACATTATCATAGAAACGCCTTTTGATTTTTAGGACTTCACAACCATATTTTCATGTTTTTTTTAAATTTTCTCCAAAACGGTATGGAGATTTGAAAAAGTAAAAACGGGATTAATCATTTTAGAACCAAATTTTTTTTTATGAAGAGTGCATTTTCCTCTAAATGTCAATAATAAAAAAAAAATCCTCTTGTAAAGACAATCCAGGGACATACTGTATAACAGATTTCCTATTTGAGACTTGTAATTCTATATTTTTTTACAAAATATACAGATTTTTTAGAATATTTTCATAGATATAGGGGACGGTAAAAATATATTTTATACTAAAATTGGTCTTTTTTAAATAGAATGCGGTAGTTTTGCAGTTCAGAGTAGTTTAATGACCAGTTCAGAGTAAATAGGACCGTTTTTGCACATTTAAAACAGTCCCAAAATTATAAAATAGCAAATTCTTTATTAGTTTTTCAAATAATTTAAAAAAAATTATAATAGTGCCCTTTCCAATTATACGTTGGATCAAAACTAGATGTTGACTTTTCCTCCACTATTTCACAAAAAGGTGTATTTTGTGATAGAAAAAGTTAGTTTTATCTAACTTTATGTTTTGATAATATAAAAATGGATGTATATTCACAATTTTTTTAATTCATATGATAATTTTAGGTATAAAAAAATATAAAAATAAATAATATCATACTAGAGCATTTGCTGCTTTGTGGGATAAACTGTATATAAATGACTTGATTTTTTATTCATTGTCAATGATTAATATAATAATTATTTACTAAATAGACTTAAGATAAATTATTAAATGTTCACGACTATTATTGTACTCCGTAGCCGAGTACAATTAGTAGTTTATTAAATTTAAAATCAATGGTGGCGTAAACAGTTAAATATTTCTCAGAAATTGTTGCATTCCGTCTTGAATTCAAGATATTTAAGTACTGTAAATAGTTTTTATAGTTATAGTCCGCGGACTTGGCCTTTGACAGGCTTAGTACGCCAAAGGCTTTGCCTACCAAAGACTTGGTCTTGCCCACAAACGCAAAGATTTCATCCAAAGGCCGGGCCTTTCCGTGTATGGGCAGCTAATATCAGTAATAAAAGGATAGAAAATTATATTTGAAATAGGTGGGTAAAACATTATGACTAATTTTGACACACCCAATATATATACAGGGTGGCCCATCGAAAACGTTCCGCAAGACATAACGGCCAGGATATTTTTTTTTCAAAAAATCCAAAAACACGTCAATTTTGTTTGTGAGGGGGACAACTTTTGCCCCAAAAATGATTGCAAAATCTTCAACCCTTTAAGCGGGGGTGTCATCCTCCAACTTTTTTCAAATGGGAAGGGGGGTCAAGTGGCGCCGCAATGAAAATAGCTTTCTATTCTCTATATTTCCCCGCTTCGTTTTTGAAAATCGGTCGAGTCATTGAGAAAATATGAAGGATTGAAATTTGAAAAGTTTATTTAAACATTTATCAGAGTAAAAGATAAGGATAAATTCTTTCGACCAATTTGCTGTTTTTTCTTATTATTTCTAGATGTTTGAAGGTTGAACGATCAGGTGCGGTCTCAATATCGTTAAACTGACCCACAATAGAATTTCCAAAAATACCAGCCCGCGACGATCAAAATCGTCTTCGTTGAATTCTTGTACCAACTGAATTTTGTACGGGTGGAACTTGTGTTTTTTTAATATCGTTTGGACACTTGTACGATTCACGCCGGTCGCGGTCTTATTGGCTAATTTTCTTGTACTCAGCGTACTATCCATGGCAACTTTACGAATACCTCCATAGCTTCATTTACTACAGGATTTTCCCTCTGCCTCTTTTTATTCATAACAGTTTCGTGAAATTTTGCTACTAAATCGCGAGCAATTTTGCCATAAAGGTGTTTGTCAGGATGGCGTTCATTGAATATCTGCGCAAACCGATTGCCACATTCATTATTTTTCAAAATAAAGTTCGATTATATCCACTTTTTCTGCAAGTGAGTACACCATAATTATTAAAAAGTTTAACGATATTGAGAAGAACTTCAACGCATAAGTCACAGAACAGCTATCTAGCAACTACCGCACCTGATCGTTCAACCTTGTGGCAAGTGAAAAAATGCATAAACATCTAGAAATAATAAGAAAAAACAGCAAATTGGTCGAAGGAATTTATCCTTATCATTTACTCTGATAAATGCTTAAATAAACTTTTCAAATTTCAATCCTTCATATTTTCTCAATGACTCGACCGATTTTCAAAAACGAAGCGGGGAAATATAAAGAATAGAAAGCTCTTTTCATTGCGGTGCCACCTTAGGGTGCCACTTGACCCCCCTTCCCATTTGAAAAAAGTTGGGGGATGACACCCCCGCTTAAAGGGTTGAAGATTTTGCAATCATTTTTGGGGCAAAAGTTGTCCCACTCACAAACAAAATTGACGTGTTTTTGGATTTTCTGAAAAAAAATTACCCTGGCGGTTATGCCTTGCGGAACGTTTTCAATGGGCCACCCTGTATACCAAAAAACGTTGCCCACTTAGTAAGATTAGCAATATCATCATCAATAATTTGTTCACTATTAACAGAGCTGTCAAAACTTTAATTAATGTAATTTTTGTAAGGTCACTTTGAAATTTTTATCAAAAGAAATATAACCATTCATTAAAACAACAAATTTAGTGTAAAATATTTTGAATCATCCTGTATAATATGTTTAATATGTCAGCTACAACTGCCTACATATTTTTGAAAAATATTGGAGTGACAATCTCAAATGAGAAACTTTTGGACACTGGGTCACCCTGTATGAAGAAAAAAAATCTCTTACGCCCTGCATAAGTAAATCAAGTGAATAATCACTGATAAAAGTGGTTTTTCCTGATCCAGTTGGCCCTGTCAAAATTGTGAGCTCCCCTCTTCTGTGCCCCTTTAATATTTTATTTAACGTAGGGTATCTCTTCCATTTAATTCCCTGGACCTATATTTAAACTTAATTAATGACATTTTTTCACATATAAAACCATTTTACCTTATCAATATTTTGCAAATCTGATAAAACATCAGCTCTAAGACTTCCAAACGTTGTAATACTTTTATGCCATACAGGTTGAGCAGTGTTTATAACACTGGAAAAATCTTCTTCTGGTTGTATATGAGGTAATAATATACTAGGTTTTATCAAGGAACATCTTTTTTCTCCGAGCTTGTGGGCAAAATGCCTGGCTGAATCCCAAGAAACACTATCGCTGCCCATCCATAATATAATTTTTTTAAACCTTTCTAAACTTGGTAATACATATTGTGATAATGTTCTTACACCATCTGGTAAACACACAATACTGGCATTGATTTTTTTATTGATTAAAATTAAAAAATCTCTAATAGTAGGCACTAAAAGAGCAGTATCTTTAGATCTGGATAGTCGAGCAGTAAGAACTCCGCCACATTCTATGTCGGGAATTATGGTTTCAGTCAGATTATTTGAACGGACTGTTCTATATCCCACAACTCTACTTTCAACATTCTCTAATGGAAAGTATAAAAGTGTGTTTTTATTATTAATTCTTATATCTAAAGATTCTATGGCAGTTTGAGATATTACCTGAAAGAAATAAATTTTTAAGAAATAAACTAACGAGACAATACAACTAAACTTACAGGAAGTCTAAACTTAGACAGAATATTTGTCAATTCGTTTTCATCTAATGAATTCAATACAATTGTTTGGTTTGTAACTTCGTTCAAAATTTCACTATATTTTTCGAATTTTTGAAAGTCATTTTCAAAAGTTAACTTTTTCTTAATTTTTTTAGACTTCAACATAACTAAATGCGCTAGAAACTGGTCCCATTGTCCGCAATGAGAACAGGAATCACACATAAACATTCCTGAAATTCCGTAAAGTCAAATTTTATTTTAAGAACAAATTTTATACACGTACCAGTATTTTTATTTATGTATAATTTTGGAGTAGACTTTGTTTCATCTTTTACATTTTTACAAATTATACACTTTGAGATAAAGCAAGTATATCCCTCTTCAAAACTTAATCCATTTATATTGAAAGTTTTCTTTATTTTTCCTGGAGATACTTCGGGAATATCCTCAAAATTAATATTATTGTACTTTCTTATTACAGATCTAATAGAATTTCTTTGTGGTATTCTAACATTCGAGATTTTTCTTAAGAGCATTTTAAAACTTTGTGTAAAATATTCATATTAAATAAATACTTGTATAATATAAACATATAATACATATTCAAGAAAATAATAAAAACAATGCGCTTTAAAAGGCCCCCATAAACCGAAAAAGTGAGGTTAGATTAGATTTGAAACAAGATTTGAAATGTGATTTGAAAGATCTTGGTATATTGAGTTGCCTATATATATTTTTTTATGAAGTCGTATTTTTTAAACATTATTCTAATTTTTTTATCAGAAATTAAAACTATTTTTAGAATATGAATTAAGATTCTTTTTATAGTGGGGCATTACCTATAGTGGGCATTTTTTCTTTTAGAAGTATATTATTATTATTCTTTTACGTTTTTTTTCAGAAAATTTTGAGTCAAAATTATTAATAACGTAACTCGCTAGATGGCGCCATCGCGCACATTTCAATTTATGTCTAGGTGGCGTTGGCCGGGGCGCCTGTCGCTTTTTTTTTGAATAAACGCGCTTTTTAAAAAAAATCTCACAATCTAGCAATTCTTTTAAAGTTTGGAACATTTCGTACGTTCGCTTTTTGAAATTCTAGAAATTTTGTTCACTATTTTCAATGTGATCAACGCGCGTTATCAAAAATTTTACGTAATAAATAGTGAATAACAAGAAACAGTACCTAGTGATGACAATATTTTTGTTAACAACGCGATTATTTCGGTTTTCTGTACTCTTAACTCCATTCCATTTGCAAGAATCGTGTGCGGGCGCCATTTTTTTAAGTGTTTTATGGGAAAAATCGAAGCCATCAAGTAATTCTTTTGGTAAGTACCTAATATTAAGTTAAGAGAGTTTATATATATATATATATATATTTATATCCAATATCTAACATTGGATATTTAAAACATAAATATTGAATGATTCCCCACTATTTCAAAGTAATAATAATGTTCTAATTACATAATAATTATTTAATAATAATAATTTATTTAATATGAATTACATAAGATACACAGGCTCACTTAAATTGTTACTAAAATATACAGTAACAATTTTGCGACAAGAAGCAAGCACTTATTGTTATTAAACACATATCTATTTACAAATTGTTTACGTTCATTGTTGTCTCTTTTACGTGTTACTTTTTATTCAAATAGGTATTTTTTCTGTACCTCCATAAAATAGGTATATCTACATAAAATTTTTAAAATCCGTAGCAGTCGTGCAGGTTGTATGTAGCAGGTTGTGTAAACATAAGTGTGTCTGAAGTTTTAAAATGTCTAGATATTATAAATTTATTCTTCCTCAAAGATTATATACAGGGTGGCTTATATTCCCAAAAGAGTTCAACATTTTTTTTATATTATGTATTTTTACCTAAATAAAATTTTTAAAATCGGTTTGCAGCGAAACTTTTTAAAGCAAAGTTTTAACGTGCTTAATAAAGATATTATAAGTTTAATCTTGCTCAAAGATTATATACAGGGTATCTCATGCACTCTCTGAAAAGAGTCTAATATCTGTTTTTATATTTTTTTACCAAATTTAAATTTCTAAAATGGCTTTGCAGTCGTATTTGAAGTTTTCACATGTCTAATAAAGATATTATAAGTTTAATCTTGCTCAAAGATTATATACAGGGTATCTCATGCACTCTCTGAAAAGAGTCTAATATCTGTTTTTACATTTTTTTACCAAATTTAAATTTCTAAAATGGCTTTGCAGTCGTATTTGAAGTTTTCACATGTCTAATAAAGATATTATAAGTTTAATCTTGCTCAAAGATTATATACAGGGTGGCTCACCCTCTCAAAAGAGTCTAATATCTGTTTTATATATTTTTACCTAATTTACATTTCTAAAATGGGCTTGCAGTCTTGTCTGAAGTTTTAACATGTATAATAAAGATATTATGAGTTTAATCTTGCTGAAAGATTATATACAGGGTGGCTCACTCTCCGGAAAGAATCCAATATTTGCTTTTTTATATATTTTTATCTAAATAATATTTATAAAACCGGTTTGCAGTCGTGTCTGAAGTTTTTACATGCCTAATGAAGATATTATATGTATAATTTTGCTCATAGATTATATACAGGGTGGCTTACTCTCCCAAAAGAGTCCAGTATTTGTTTTTTTGATGTATTTTTACTTAAATAAAATTTTTAAAATCGGTTTGCAGTCGTGTCTGAAGTTTTAACATCATATTTTAATATGTATAATAAATATTTATTCAAAAATTATACACAGGGTGGCTCACTCTTCCAAAAGAGTCCAATATCTGTTTTTTTTCTATATATTTTTAAAGCAAATTTTGTTTTACAAAATATTAGAGCAATATTAGTAATGAAATTAAAGAAAAAACATCTATATTTTATTTATTATACATATTTAGGGTCATTTAATTTTTTTAAATTCTCTAGCGGTATATATTTAAAAATGTTCATACTTATTTCAAAAATCATTTGCTATTACATACTGCATGGTATTTTTGGGAAATCTATCGAGAAAAATACAGCATTCTACGTATTTAGAAAACTATAACTCCAGTGTAATTATTTGAATCACCCTGTGTATTTCAATTAAAAAAAAATAAAAGTGCCGCGACACTGCCCACATTTTAGGTAAAAAATATGAGTAAAAATTTTCGAATTGAAATTCTGGATTATTTATATTTCATTACTAATATTAGAGCAATATTAGTAATGAAATTAAAGAAAAAACATCTATATTTTATTTATTATACATATTTAAGGTCATTTAATTTTTTTAAATTCTCTAGCGGTATATATTTAAAAATGTTCATACTGATTTCAAAAATCATAGGCTATTACATACTGCATGGTATTTTTGGGAAATCTATCGAGAAAAATACAGCATTCTACGTATTTAGAAAACTATAGCTCCAGTGTAATTATTTGAATCACCCTGTGTATTTCAATAAAAAAAAATTAAAATTGCCGCGACACTGCCCACATTTTAGGTAAAAAATATGAGTAAAAATTTTCGAATTGAAATTCTGGATTATTACAATTACAGCTTTTATTTTATACCAAAGACTACTGTGAATATAGGTACTACTTTTATACATGAAATAATAAAAAATACGCATCATCTCCATTAAATGAGCGCTTTTTTGAGATAATTAGTTTGGTTTGGCGCTGTTTGCGTGCTCAGCTGTTCTGTGCAGCGTTGCCAATCTTTGTGGAATTCCACAAAATGTGTGGAATTCGTAATAATGTTGTGGAACGTTTGTGGAATAGAATAAATGTGGAATTTTGTGGAATTTTCGGAATTATTCCTTTTTTTCTTCCTTATTTAGCTAATAGTAAAAAAAACATTATAGGACTCATCATAATTTTACAGATTTCTGTAAAAAGAGCGTCGCCGTCGAGGTCAGCAGCTAGGTTCGGTATTTAGATCTGCAAGCAATCCGACGAAATTTTCGACATATCACATATCACACGTCACTATATAATGTAAAATCCCTTTAAGATCACGTGGTTCATATAAAAAAAATGTCGGATTGGTCGCAGACCTAAAGACCGAACCTGGCTAGTGATTGTGGAATTTTGTGGAATTTGGGTATGTTCGCCGTGGAATATAATTTTGGACCATTGGCAACGCTGGTTCTGTGACATATTCACACATATTGACACGACCTTGATTCGTATTCGTAATTCGTAATCTCCACAAATAATCACGAAGTTATTATGGGTTGGAAGTTGATAAATATGCACTAGGCTTTTATTTAATAAAGCTAGGAAGCTTGTAAGTTATTTATTGAATTCGCTAAAATGCAGCGGGTGTGGTTTTTTGTTTTTGCAATAGTGACTGTGTTTACACAAGAATTGAAGAAACCGACCATTCATGTGTCTGTTTTGGTAAGAAACAAGGCCCATACTTTACCGTATTTTTTATCGAATTTCGAAAGACTGAATTATCCAAAAGATCGTATGTCTTTGTGGTAAGTATCTCATACAATTTTCCTTTTTTTATGTAGGTTGTGTAAACATAACCTTAATAAACAAAACTATAAAATGGTCTCAAAATAACTTCATAGTTCTTAATTCATCTGTATAGAATGATGATTTATCTTTTAGGATTAGAAGTGACCATAATAGTGATAATAGCATACATATTTTGAAGTTATGGGCTGAGTCAGTAAAAAATGAGTATCATTCGATTCATACAGAACTTGAAGATACTGTAAAATCATTTCCAGGTACCTATAAACATGTTGTTTAAGTACCGTATGATCGAGAAAAAACGGCGTCAACGATGGCTATGAAATAAAGATCGCTGTAATTTTATATGTAAATTTATATGGGAAATGTCATCGATCATCATTTGCCAGCCAACTGGACGCCATTTTTTTTCGATCATACGGTACTTATATAACTAGGTATAGTTTGTCCAACAAGAGAATACATGTCACGATTCAAAAGTATACTGTTTGTATAATAATGTAATTTTTTAGGTGAAAGCAGTATTGCTGATTGGCCAGACAGTAGATTTACTCATGTTATGAATCAAAGACAAGCTGCTTTAGAATTTGCCAAGAATATATGGGCTGACTATTTTTTGGTAATTTTCTGTTAATTACTTTTTTCAAAAATTAATAATTTGAATTTTTTTAAAGTCTATCGATGCCGATGTATTTCTCACCAATCCAGAAACATTAAACTATTTGGTATCAAAGAATTTTACAGTTGTATCTCCCATGCTTCGGTCTAATGGACTTTATTCTAATTTTTGGCATGGTATGACTGATAATTACTATTACCATCGTACTGACGAATACAAACCTATTGTAAATAGGAATAATATTAGCTGTTATAATGTGCCTATGATTCACTCATGTGTTATGATTGATTTGAGAAGGACAGAATCAGAATTACTGACTTATATACATGAAAATTTGCAAGCAGATGATATTCCGTATGATGACATAATTGTTTTTGCACTTTCTGCCAGATTTAACAATATACCATTATATTTATGTAACGAAGAAGTTTTTGGTTACATTCCTGTCCCACTGGAACCAAGTGAAGAGTTAGTTGATGATGATGATCATTTATTAAACATAAAAATGGAAGTTTTAAATTCAGGTACCTAACAAAGAATTTTTAAATTT